AAGGAAATTCCCCTACATGGCCAAGACACTTGGTACACTTCAGTCACAACTACAAAAGATTGACCCGAGATCTGAAATGCCCCTTAAAGACACATAGAGCTGAGATGCCTGCAGGATCAGGGTGCTTTTCCTCCAGCCCAGTCCCAGACATGACAGCAGAAAGCCCAGCCAGCTGCCCTCTCACCTTCTGACAGCCCCACAGTAGCGGCAGTCCACCAGGAAGATGCAGCGCAGAGCTCTCGTTATGCGCACGTGCGAGGTTTGGCGCACCAGCACCACGATGGCCTCGATGAACTGAACAAACAGCACACAAGTCTGCAAAGAAAGGGTTAGTGAGAGGCACAGCTCAGTCTCCTTTTGGCAAAGGCAAAGCTCTCACTGACCACCCATTTATCTGGACACTTGAAGCATGGGAGTTGTCCCTGAAAGCGTAAGAGATCTTACATGAATCACTTGGCAGCTGGGACACAGGCTAAGTCATCTCTGCTACAGCACAGGCCAGTATTTAATCTGGTTCTTTGACTCCTGAAGATGCTGAAGGAGAAACACTAACACTCACACACACAACTTACCTTTACCATAGTCCTTTTGTGCCTGATAAAGGTCTGGAAGCCCAGCCACCTCATCTTCATGGAGAGTTCAAAGACCACCACAATTAATGCAAACAGCTCCAGGGTTGCATGGACCTGTCAGAATGCAGCAAAGCTTCTGGTTAAAAGCAGCAGCACAGCAGAGGCCAAGCTTCTGCCCTTCCTTTCTCAAGAAGCACATGGGTTTGACAATAGTCTGAGCACAGCTCTGACACAGGCAGGAAAACCCAAGGCCACTCTTAAAGCTAGCACAGCACCAGTTTTCAGTTTCTGTGTTTGTGGCTTTGTGCTTTTATTATTGCCCTCTGAGCAGTACGAGCTCAGAATTTCCTGAAATCCACATCCCTTTTGGACTCAAATAACACATCCAAAATTGTATTGATACATTTGAAACAAAAGGGCAAGACCCCAGTAACTTGAGCAGAAACACTTTTAGAAGATTGAGACTGAAAGGGGTCTAATGCAATGCAAGAAAGAGAGCTGCTGGGCAGAGAGGATTTCCACAGGGAAAGGTTTTCTCTTGATCCAGACATTCTGGACAACCACAGACAGGGTCCTGATCAAGCTCTGGAACAGAACACTGCTGTGGGCAGTGCTGAAGGACCCCATCTCTGTTGGAATATGTAAAATGCAGCAGAAACCAGACAATAGTATTTTCTTACAACCTCAGCTTTAGTCACAGCTCAAAACCCAACTGAGTTATGCAGCTGTGACTCATTGTGAGGAATACTTTGAGCTGTTCTACACCCCTGGCATGTCCTAGGGTGCCATTAAAAGCCCCAAAGGCAGACGTAGATTCTCCTCCCACCAGCAACAGCAGCTCCTAGCACTGTGCCTGACAGTGGTACCTCATGAAGTGGCCGTGGACTGACAACAGCACAAACCAGTTTGTGTGTCCCTTCTCTCAGCCTGCATTTTAGGAAGGTTAGACATAAAACTTCAAGTCACTCACACATTAAAAACAGTGCTCACAACACTGGGAGGAGAGGCCAGGAGAAGGTTTAGCAACCTGTCCGAGGCTGGGATCTGTCTGTGTTCTAGGAACCAGTGGTGGTGCCGAGCTAAGGGTATTAACCCTGAAAATGACCTTAACAGCACCCAGGTTCTTGAGTTATCTCAAGGAGAAACCACAAACTTCTCATTTACAAACTTTCACATCTGCACAAATGGATAATATGAAATAAATGATACTTTCGTTGTGGTCTCTGTCCACCAGATGCAAAAAGGATGTTTTGCTGGCTGGCTTTTCTGCTGTCAACCAATTTACAGAACAAGCCAGGTGGCTTTTTTCCTATTGCTGCTCCCTTCTTCCTCTATGCTGAGCCTTCCTTTTCCTCTCACCCAGCACTGTAGAACAGGCAGACTTCTTCCTTGTGCCCAGAAGTACTTACAAAGATGCCAAGACGGAGCATGGGAACAGCCGGCGCTTCGCAGAGAGAAAGCAACAGGAGTAGCAGTGCTGTGCTCAGCTCCATTAGGTAGAAAAGGTGATTGTGTGCAAAGAGGTAGGCAGCAAGTGCTTTGGCATTTTTGGGGTGAGTGAAGAACTTATCGTTATTTTCTCCTTCCTAGGGCAGCAGGAATAAGTAAGAGAACGGCATTAGTGACTCTTGGTACTATAACATAGCTTTCGACATGAAGAACAAGACACAATTCCCATCAGACTATCCCCACTTTACAGCCTAACATTGATCTATTTATTGAGGCCTGGACTCTATTTATTGAGGAATGAACTCTAGACACAGAGGACACCCTCTTCTGTTCATAAGCATGTTTCAGGAATGAAACTCATTAATATCCCCAAACTCCTGCTTCAGAAATCCCTAAAATGAAGAGTGCTGAAAGAGTTTATAAAGTTAGGCAAAGAAACTTCAGTCAAGACCCCAACATAAACACAGCACTCACTTGCAATCACTTCCACATGTTTACACACTTCTTTGATTAAACTTCTCCAGGACAGATCAGGAAAACACACAGATAAGCTTCAGGGCACCTGCCTGACAGTTATCCTTATCTTGGCCTTGCAAAATGTCTCGGAGAAAACACTGGAGCACACGCAGTGTTTTCTACTTCAGGAACGTGGGAAGACAGGCTCTATGCAAAATTAACAAGCCTCAGTGCTTATTTGTCACTCCCTCTGAACTAGAAAGCTTAATTAATATGAAAAGGTCAGATACTCCATCTTAGCAATTTGCCTACAACTGATTTTTAGACAGCAACATCAGTACTATTTACCTGTAGGACAAAACTTAGTTTGGGGAGAATTTAGAGGCTTTTTCCTGCAGGAGCACCCAACACCTTCTTTTCTTTCTTGAGTCAATGGTTTAAGGAAGGGAGCCTTAGTTACTCACAGGAAACTTGCAGCCTCTTGGAAACCATCATAAGAGATGATTTTTTTGCCCAGCTGGGACACTCAGATGCACAAGAAATGGTTTGTTTGTGGGTTTTTAAATTAACATCTTTCCAGGTAGGCAATTACTGTAAGGACAGTAAGCTATTGCTATCAAAGCCGAGTAACTGTGATTGCAAATGGATAACAAGGTCAGGAAATAGGATCTCTTCTAAGAAGTGAAGCATTCTCGAGACTATTTCAGAAGAGGGTTTCAAACATTTCTCATTTACTCATCTCGCTCTCTGCTGAAGAACAAGGGAGCGCTGCCAGGTCAGCCAGCCAGCTTGTGAACAGGACAGAACCCAGCAGCAAGCTCCATATTCCTCACTCCAAGAGAGCTGCAGCTCCCAGCAGCAGGGCATCCTCATTCATGCTTGACAAAACACACTTGCACGATGGAAAACAGGCTCAATTCTGCCTGTTGGTAGCCAAGCAATTCAAAACATTGCTGGACAGCAAAGTCCTCTTCTTCAGATAAGACACTTGCCTGCAGCTAGTGGTTCAAATAAACAAGCTGCATGCTCTTTAAGTTCTGCCTACTCCAGTTCAAGGACGTTGTCATTATGAGCACTGGTCAAGACAGCAGCAAGAATAATGTGCATGTGAAGGGCCAAGCCTGCTGTGTACATTATCATCAGCCACTGCAGCAACTCAATGACCCTTTGCAGAGCAGCTCCAATAATCATGAGCTTAAACAAAAGCCAGTGTATTGTCAGTGCTGCTCTAGCACATGACAAAGCTGAGGCAGAACCAAGGTCCAAGACTATCTGGGTTTAAACAGGCAGAAGAGCAATACTTCCCAGTCCTGGGGGGTAGGAGCAGGGAGGAACAAATGGTTTCAGTCACCTTGCAGTTGGCTTAAGCAAAAAACTTAACTGGGTCCAAAGCCTCTCAAGCTGCAATGCAGAGCCTCTGAAAGGGAACAAAGAGGAGGAGGAAGGGAGGGCAGTAGGGAACCAGCAGTGATTTCGGACTGGACAGCTCTGGGACAGCTCAGTTTCGGGAGCTAATTCATCACACCAGGCTGTACAGTGATCTTAAATACACCTTCACTGAAGCAACAACAGTGTTTCCTGTAACTGGAGCATGGATGGGGGTGTTTTGTTTCTTTTTTTTCTTTATAAATACAATAAATTTCACTCCTGAGCTGATCCTAATCTCAGCATGCTTTCTTCCTGTAGAAATCTACCTTCTCTTGTATCTTACATGACTTGCAGGGCTTGATGGATGCTAAACAAACATCCCAGGGCCATCCACCTAACCTGCAACCAAGGCAAGAATAGGACCTGCACTTCCAGAACACAAGATGTCTCCTGGAGAGCACTGACCATTCACCCTGTGATGACTGGAGAGATGAAATGACAATCTGTGACAAGTTACAGACATCTCCATGGCAAGGTGGCAGAACTGAACACACACTGAATCCCTCAACTGCTACAGTCCTTGACACTGGAAGAGATGGGAGAGAATGAGTAGCTTGTTCAGTTGCTCCCAGATGACTTGCAGAGCCCATGTGAAGATGCTTTCAGCATTGCCCTGCTCTTAGAATCACAGAATGGTTTCGGTTGGAAATGACCTTAAGATCATCCAGTTCCAACCCCCTTGCCATGGCTAAAAGCCACTTTTTTGGGCAATCTGTTCCAGTGCCTCACCACCCTCACAGGGAAAAACTTCTTCCTTATGTCTAACCTGAACTTCTCCTTTTTCAGTTTAAATCCATCACCCCTTGTCCTGTCACTACAGTCCTTGATGAAGAGTCCCTCTCCAGCATCCTTGTAGCCCCCTTCAGCTTCTGGAAGCTGCTCTGAGCTCTCCACGCAGCTTCTCTTCTACTTCAAGCGGATTCCTTCAAAGAACCAAACTATTAACCTCAAGATGGAAGCTCTTTGTTTCTTCTAACAAAGCACCACCACAGTTTGAGGAGTCCATTTTTCACACAACACGTGGACAGCAGGGCTTACCTGGAGGTAGATTGCTGCCTCTTGGTAGTTCATTTCCCAGTTGTGTCGGGCAGAGCTTTGCTGCGCGCAGCAGTCCCCTGCAGCAGGGCTGGATGCATCATGAATAACATCATAGCTACCTCCATCTGCAGCAGTAGAGTAAGAGACACATTGATTCACAATTAAGCAAGCTGAGATTGATCAGGAGGCATGAAACAAGGCAGGCACCAGGACCAGAGGCAAGCATCAAGAGGCAGCAGAGTACCCAGGACACTGGCAACTTGTACACAGACAAACTGATTCTTTGCATGTAGGAGCTTAAGAGACACACTCGAGCTCAGCACTTCAACACGAGGATGCTCCCAGAAGATCAGCAAAAGAGACAGCATCCTCTTTAACACAATAAGCAGGTCTCCTGGCTCAGGAGATCTGTGCTGTCATGTTGGTAGCATACTATCAGTAGCTATAAAGTATAAGCAGGCTGCTAGAAGTCTCTGAGGATGTCCAACTCACTAAACCAAAGTGGGCTTGCTTAAGGAACACTGCCTTTTCCCATGTCATGGTAGGAGAGACCACAGAGGGATGGAGGAGAGGACTACCACAGCTGAGGAAACCCGAGTACAGAGGCTGTGTAACACAGTAATAGCAGCAGGCAGGATTTTCAGTAGGAAGCCTCATTTTTCACTGCTCTCTGGAGTCGATGCATCTTTGCAACACTCCTCCTGATGCAGGTAAGAACCAATACCCCTCTGCTGGAAACAAACAGCAAGAGTTTCTCTTCATGTTTCTCTTCCTATTTCTCTTCATATCCCACAGATTGATGTTGGAACTTTTAAGTCTCACCAGGAAAACCCTACCAAAAACTGCTTTACTGAACATTAGCACCAGATTTCATAACTAAAGATTTCATTACAGAAATATAATTCAATTGCAAAAAGCAATTCCCAAGCACAGCTACACACATACAGTGCCCTTCCCATGGGAAGGACACATATAAATTCCATAATACTTGCTGGTTTCTGCATTCTACAGCCTCAGTGCTATTAAGACACATGAAAACCAGGCACAAAGACAATTACTGTTCAGAAAGGGAATGTCACTTCCCTTTTGCTGCTTCTGGGACTGGGATTTGGATTTTGTTCCTTTGACAAAGGACATACCCCAGCGAGACCTGCTTAGGACCATGTATGAAACCTGTGGTGGAGCTGCCCATGCACTCAGTGCTCCAGAGTTTCAATCACTACCCAAACCACACAGTTCTTGCTCTCAGCGGAGACTTCCCTCCTCCAGTGTCTCATGTTCCCAAGGAGGGCACAGGTAAAATGGATCTGCCAGTGCAGAATTGCTGATTTCCTGCTTTTTATGAGCACAGAAGCTGTGACGTGGTAGCTCATTCTCTCTGTGTTATGAGAAGTTATCTGAGAGTGGGAACAAAATGACAATGAGGTTCTTTTCCTCTCTCACGACAGTATGCTGAAGATTTACTGCATCTCTTTGCTAGGACAAAATAATCCTGATTGAATTAGTGATTCAGTCTTTTTAAAACACCCTCTGGAGTGGAGAAAGTGCCAATGCCAAAAAGATCTACCCCCACAAAGAGAAACAGCACCGCTGTGCTCCTGGCAGAGAGGCAGGGAGTGGGAAGCAAGCAGAAACCCCTTCACCAATGCAGAGCCCCAGCTGCCTTTTCCACCCGTAAATCAAGGGAAGATAACATTTATCTGGGATTTGTGAAGCCTTTCCAGATTGCATGCTCAGATTGCTGAGAATCCTGCAGCATGAAGCCTATTTCTCTTCCTTGCTTCCCCCAGAGCCTTAAAATACCACTCAAAATCTGGACAAGTGTTTGAATGAGGCTGATTCCTCGCCCACATCCCTTTCACACCTCGAATGATCACATTGCTTGAACAAAATGAATGATGGAGCTTTTTATTTATGCCCAGGACTGGAATCTTCTGGGTTTGTTTGCTTTGTAACTCAAAGATGACAGCTACATGCATTATACTGTGAGCTCTAAAAAGTTCTTAAATATTATTATTTATGAGGCTTTTACCGGGTGTGCGTTTCAAAGAGACAGACTGCAACCTGACAGCAAAAACCCTTCTGCTCTTTCAGTGCTCCTTCTGTCATAGAATCATTGAATCCCAGCCTGGCTTGGATTGGAAGGGAGCTTAAAGCTCATCCAGCTCCAAACCCTCCAACGGGCAGGGACACCTTCCACTAGAGCAGGTTGCTCCAAGCCCCTGTGTCCAACCTGGCCTTGAACACTGCCAGGGATGGGGCAGCCACAGCTTCTCTGGGCACCCTGTGCCAGCGCCTCAGCACCCTCACAGGGAAGAGCTTCTGCCTCAGAGCTCATCTCAATCTCCCCTCTGGCAGGTTAAAGCCATTCCCCTTGTCCTGCCCCTACAGGCCCTTGTCCAAAGCCCCTCTCCAGGTTTCCTGTAGCCCCTTTAGGTACTGAGCAGAGCACTCGGGGAGCTTCCAGTTACTCCAGTGATGCTAAAGAGCAAGTCACTCGAAACCAGTTAAAACCCCCATGTGCCCCTGCATGGATTGTGGATGAATGAGCTAAAATAAGTAAATTAAAAAACACTGCAGCAGCTCCATGGCCTCCTCTGGCCTTGCTCCAACAGCACCACATCCCTCTTGTGTTGTTGCCCCAGAGCTGGATCAGGACTGCAGTGGGGGGAGTTCAGGAGACATTGAAAAAGCTCAAAATCCACATCTTGGCTGCACCAGCTCTTTTGGGGAAGAGGGACATATTAAGCAGGTCCTTACAATATTACCATGTTATTGCAGCATTACAGTAGATACAAAATTAAAGAACATCAAAACATACTGTGGTCAAATCAGCAAAGGTTTGTAGCATTAAACAAATTAAGCATTAAACCAAAAGATGCCAAAACTACCTTTACCCTGAAGTAGTTTTTTCACAAAGACCAACCTCTCTTTGAAAAGGATCAACACTAGGAAAAGAGACACCCCAGTAAAAACCCAGGCCCCCTCTCTGCATTTCACACAGAGGGCTCACAGCTGAAACAGAAGAGATGTCCCATGATATCAATGTTGTGAATGCAAAACAGCACTCAAAGATGCAAATCAGAAACAAAAAATAACTCTAGAAACCAAGATGTTTTCCTCCTGTCTCAACCAGACATCATCTTTCAAGACACAGAAAATGTACTGGTGAAGTGGGGAGCTGCATTTTGTGGCTCAGCTCCTTCCCCATCAGGTACCAGAAGGTTGATCTAGCATCCCTGAGGCAGGAGCATCATCTGGATAATAAATAATAATAAAAATAATAATGAATTTGAAAAGCAACCCTCTGCCTGTTTGTTTGGCAGCCCTCCAGCTAGCTAATTTCCTCAGCTGCTCCCATGATAACAATGACACAGACTAATGCAACCTCCAACTCCGCTCAGCTCGTGCTGCAGAACATCCCCGACGGCATTTACCATTAGTATGGAGCTCAATGAGATAGGAGGATCTCTCCACAGGACTCCCGTAATCCTCGAAGTAGATGGCAGGCTGCTCTCTCCACTGCATGGCAGCTCCCACATCGGGAAGCAGGCACGCTTGGCTTCGGGGATGGGGACAGGGAGACAAGTCAGATGTGAAGTTCCTCCTTCCCTCCCCTCCAAACGCTGATCCTCAATTCGCAGCTTCTTCAAGGGAAGAGCTGCAGAGCTTTCTCTTGAAGAAGCTACAGAAAGCACAGAAGGTTTTTTCTCTCCTCTCTGCAGAACTAAACGTTTTCTCCCCTCCCCTCTGAGGAAGGTGGCTCAGACTTCAGTTAAATCGTTTCCCTATCGCTGTCTAAGCAGCAGGATGTTTCTAAGCGCAAGTTGTTGGAAGGTTTAGCTGCGGGACAAGAGCTTTTAAGCATGACTGTGGTGGGGAAGCACGGCGTTGTGTGCCATGCTCTCTTATTCTGGAAGAGAGCTAGAATTTGCTCACCAGTGAACATGAACAGCTAACGGGAAAGGAGTCCAAGTGCTGCCTAGTCACAGCAAGGAGCCTCCCCCATGCCCCCAGCAAGAAAAGAAAACAGATATTTGTGGAGTTCACAGTACGAGGGGCATGACAAAGTAAACGAACTGAGCTGCTCACAGATGGCAAAGCTTCCTTCCACACTGGTGTAACTTATCCCAGACGTTCCCTGAAAAGGGAGAGGGGGAAAGAAAAGGGGGGGGGGGGGGAAGGAAAAGCTAAACCAGCTGGCTGCTTACACAAGGCATCCGGAACGATACTGCCGGGACTCCAGCATTTCCATTCAGTGCAGCAGAGCATGCTCCTGTGTAAATAGTTTCCATATGTCATCATTACAATAAAAAACAAAACCACCAAAAGAAAAACAAAAAGAGAAAGAAAAAGAGAAGGAGCAGAAACTTTCCAGAGCCCAAACCTCTCCCTTTGCAAAACAAATTCCCTGCTTAGAGGAAGGGAAAAGTCTCCTTTGGCTCTGCAAATACACTCCTCTGGTTCGGAGGAGCTCATGGGAGAGCAGAGCTGGAAGGGGAAGACGGGACAGAAAACATTCCCAGGAGCCAGGAATAAACCACCCTCCCAGTCAGGCTATTACATGTCAAACTGAAGTCAGTTCAGACTTTCATTGTTTGATCTTTGGTGTCTGCATCTGATTTCATCCATAATATATATGTATTTTTTAATCCAAACTAGTAACCTCCTCGAGATTCAAAGAGTTATAAACAAACTCTACAGGGTAGCTCTCCCATTTGCCTCCGAGCTCTCCCAGTCTGGCTCTCATTAGCCTGTTTGCCAGATGTTCTTCTTTCTAGATAGCACACACTTTTTATTGCGTTACACTGAAACAGACTGAGATGCTTCTAATTACCTCCTCCACTGCCTCCAAAGCCATGTGCCTTCACTGGACATACCAGGGCTTTCTCCTAAAAGGTTGAGGAAGGTCTTGATGGAGCTGCTAGTTGCCATCCTGTCAGGATAAAGCTATTTTAGCACCTATACCTGCAATCACAGAACTCTGCAAGCTGTGTGGAAGGCAGAGCAAGTGACATAATGCAGCAAAAATATCCTTATAGTTAAATCTGTCATTCATACTGACACCAGCAGCTTCTCTGGGCACCCTGTGCCAGCGCCTCAGCACCCTCACAGGGAAGAGCTT